TCATCAGAGACCATTGTACGTTTGATAATTACACATTCTAGTTCAGCTTCTTAATCAGCAATGACAATATTCAGTGACTCCCCATTTAAGGCACACCCTTTCAGGATTTTACTTGGTATATCTCTCCATATTAGGAGGCTATCCTTTTCTTTTTTTCTTTTCTACTTTTTTTTTCTTTTTTTTCTCTAAATCAGTTTTGTGGACACCTTGTAGTTTCACATAGACTATGCTATCACAAATTGCTTACGAAAATGTCATTGCCAACAAAAAAGGAAAATGGTAATCTGCAGAGGTTATGTTACTGAAATGCAATGCTCAAAATACTTGTTGCATCAGCTTGTACTAGATGTGTGCAAAATGATAGTCTTTAGTGACAGAGTGATCTTATCCAGAAGAATCCAGATGCCCAGGATTGTTTCACATCTTTATTGTTCATTACATGACATTAGAGTTCATTTACTGTTCAATATTCAAATTCTGCTCACTTAACAGAATTCTGTACTACTTTATTTACTTTCATATCTGGCTATTCAAAGGTACTCCTTAATATCTGAAAAAAATTAATTTTTTTCTCACTTCGTAAGTAGCTGCAGAAGCAGACAAATCTGAATCTACTGATTCTGAATATTTGACACCACAGATTCCAGATAGCTGACATGAGATATTTCAAATTTGAGTTTTCAAAGTTGCCATTAAATATTTTCTGTTTATTGGATTATATTCCTTCAAAATGATCAGAGAATGAAAATCCATACTGATTCCGTGAGGTATATACTGGACAGATGTTAAAATAAAAAAAAATTACTGAAAGGCAACTAGTCTCATTATTTGTCTGAACGCTCATGGAAGCAAGAACCAAAAGCAGTTAAAAGTCTGCTGGATTATATTTATTTATACTTTATAAACTTTAGTACAAAACTATGGTATAAAAAGACTTCTTAAACTTAGGTACACTTATTGTCTTTTCACCTTGATAATAATAACAGAATGATGCTTTTCCAATGTTGGATTAGTGTCCCTGGAGAACAAGCTATTGTATATGTAGGTGATTCTGCAGAATTGCTGATGTCTCCTTTATTGAAGCAGTTGTGGACAGCAGAAAAGTCAGAACTAGGTAGATGAACTGAGGTTCCAGGAAAGTAATCCTGGATTCTCATATACATTGCTCTGGACTGTACAGTAGTTACTTGTTTATCTACTTCTGCAGATTAAACTCAGAGAAGGATAACTGGGGGGTTTACTGCAGAAATCCAGTAAGGGCTTTCCTAAGAAGATCTATGGTGTCACACTCGACAAGCCATGCTCTCACTCTTGCTTGGCACCCAGATACAATTTCAACACTAACAAAAGTCGTACCACATCACCTGTCTAAAAGAGTTGAAACTATTAAATTATTCCCAGAAAGACAGAGCAGATGACCACCCACTTTCTTCAGTTTTTCTCAGTATACAGTACCACAGACATTTGTTCCTGTCTACAAGAAGCATGATTTATGCACATTTCAATGGTATTTGTTTACAATTCAGCTTTAATTTTTCCTTTTTAGCTTGTTCCACCACAGAAGTCTCTTAGGTTTTCTCTAATGCCTGACAGAAATGAGAATATGACTGAAAGCAAGGTGCCTTTTAGGCTCCTGTCAGATTAATCAGAAAAGATCTGCCAAAGTGAAACACTCTGAAGGACAGGTATGTATCTGTTCTTGCAGCCTCCAGTATCACAGCAATATACAATCTCAGTTTTATTCCTGCCCTTCCTGCTCCTTGATATGCACACAACAGTTGCCAGGACCCTCCTTCAGCTTTCACGAGCCAAAAGATTTTGGCCATCTACTTCAACTACATGTTTGACAGTGACAATAGTCCTTTAATCACACTCATGGAAAAATTGCCATTCATTTGGAAGGATGCCAGCTCCAAACAGCACTTGGATATATGAGCTAGACTGACAGACTGCTCTTTATTTGCCAGTAAGGTAGGGGAAGAAAATGCTGTTACATGTGTTTTGTATCCTCTGCTGCATACTAAATCATTGCTGGGTGGTATTCATGATCTATAAAGCAGTAAGTATTTCGGCCACAGCTATCTCTGGCACCATCTGTTTGACCACTTGCAAAACTAACAAGCTGCACAGAAGCTGGGAAAGTGACATGACTGGCATGAGTTTGAGAAAAACGACATCTAGATTCAAAATTAAACCAGCTATTCAAAATTTCATCACAGCATGTCAGCCATACTGTGGTTACCCTCTGAACCCTCATAGGCTGGTCTTCCGTTGCTGCTGGCAGACATGGCTGGTTGCTTTTTCCATAGCTAAAATGTTTGCAGATAGTCTCGTTAACACAAAAGTTTTCAGCAAAGAATGGAAAATGAAGCTCCTGAGTCTACTCAGATGATTTTCTGCCCTGGCAAATGAGGAAGAGTGAGGGTTTTGGCCAAGAAATCCTACTTCTGCTATGTTTACCTGATTTATTTTTCTGCATTGAGTTATTTGTGGTAACTGTGCATGTTCATTCAAATTGTTAACAAAACTATAAAGCACTGTAGGTGAAGAAATGACTCTCGAGGTATACAACACTAAAACTGATGATTTCTGATTACTATGTTGGGATAATAAGATACCAATACTTTTCATATATGCTATACTCAATTACAATTAACATCACGAAAGCATTTACAAGTCATCTTGCAAAAAGACCATTTGATATGGTCCTTTTTTCCTTGAAATCAACATGGTTTGTATCGTATTCTAAAAAAAAAAAGTGTCATGAATAAGTTGCATCTCTGTTTTGAGCTTGATATCACCTAGCAGCTCTAACTACAAAAGATCCCATTTACCATTTTAAGTGCTGGACTTAAGGAACTTTCCCAGTAGTCTAAAATTTATTAAAAGTTAATGAAAATGTTTCAGAAAGCTTCCTAACCAATAAAGTACTCTTTTGAGCAAATTAATAATTTCTACAATTATACCACAAGTATTGAACGTAAAAAACCTTGTATAAAAACAATATCAATAAGAATAGAGAAAACAATTGTTAATACAATATAATTTGCAGTTAAAAAAAAAGGTAGATAACTTTCACCTATGTTGTTATACTGTTCCTTATTTCAGGTTCTCATACATTTTTGTACATTTTTTTAAATTTCCAAAATTAGCAAGAAACTAAGCAAAACTTAAGATCAGGCTTCAGATGTGTTGACAGACTACTGCTTGCATGAGAGATAATCCAGCCCTTCTCCTGCATGTCTCCATAGGATGCCTGGGTTATTTTTTCCCGTAGGTTAATTGGAAACCTTTGGTTTGGTTGATGGTCAAAGTCCTGTGTATGTGCCTGAATCAGTTCTGAAATAGTAATTTTGTAATTGCAAGGAATTAAAAACTGGGCAGCTATCTCCTATGTTCTTATTGACCATACAGTACTTCAACTGATAGTAAAATATTCCTGTTAAATAATATCTGATGTGAAACTGAAAACATATAAAGAAACCCAATCTGAATGGTTGGAAATAAAAATCTGTATAAAATCATCTATCCTGGATGTCTATCCTCTAGATTAGTTCAGAAGACACAGGCTGCACCTCCCCAGATCACCTCCTTAATGCACAGAGCTAAGATGCCAAACTTTCTCCTCATTGAGGTGCTCTAGAAGGGTACACACAGCTGCCTCAGGCATAACTCCTTCAGACTTCTGAGATAAAAACACCTCTTGTAAAAATCCCCTTACAATATTTTCTCATTATTCTTTCATTGTATCTGTAAACACTGCTACTAAGAAAAAAAAGGGGGGTGGGGGTGGGGGGGAGAGGGCAGGGAAGAAGAGGAAGCAATTGATATTTATCATTAACGTTGAGCAAGAATTTCTAAATTACCATGAGATGATGTCTGAAAAGTTTTAGTGGGTAGAAATGCTTCAGGGAACATGAGTTAATAGCATCAGTGATAGTTCTGAAGGCAAGAGCAATCCTGAAGATTGCTTCAGTAATTTAGAATTGGTAACAGATCCCCTCAAGTGCATTGTTATTCATTAATAATAATGCACATACAGTAGACAATTTCTGTTTAAAGGATGAGCCTTTGGTCAGCAGAATTATGTTTAAAGTGATCTCCTGAAGACAAAGGGAGTGCAAGCTTCCTTCTCACGCATTGTCTGAAAAAGATTTGCTGCCTTCCTCACTACTACTCTCACGAGACCATCCAAATGCAATCATCTCCAGTTTTATCTCGGCCTCAGCCTAGGAACAAAAACATGAATCGCATTCTATAAACTGTGGAAAAAACTAAACCATGTTTTCTCTGAATCACTATTTCTGCAGAAAACTCTCCCAGGCAAGCACCTCATCCCGGCTGCAAACAACCCTTGACAAATCCCCACGGCTGCATTTGTGGTCTCTACAGCTGAGACCATTCCCTGCAAGAACAGCTCAGGCTGAGAGGATGCAGCAGTCTTGGCAGTTTGCATTGTGGAGTGTGTTGCTTCCAAGAGATGGGGTCAGCGGCTTGTGTCCTCTGCACACTGAGGGACTGACTCCTGAAGCAATTTTTAGCAAGCAGTTGTAGAATGTCAAAAGCAAGTCTTCAGAGAGCACAAACACTAACTTGAAAGAGCTTAACAGCAAAAATCCTCTCTAAATTCCTCTTCAGATTCACTTTTATGAAACAATTGTATTAAGAAGTGGGTGCTTAGCTGACCAGTAGGGTTTTTGCAACAGCTATTGGCTGATATAGATCAGTAGTTCCTATATATGTATGAATTCTCTTATAGAAAAATTCTTGGAAGTATCTTGGGAATACCTCAGAGCACTCAAGGTTCAAAACACTATTTAGAACAGGTAACAAATATACCTAGTTACCTTGCTGCATCTTCCAATCAGTTCCTGTTCAAAATAATGGTTCATATTTGAAACACCATGAAACAAATGCAACTGCCATACAAGTTTGAAACTGCACACATAATTAATAAATGTAATGTCATAATAATGAAAATTAAATTGTTTGAAACCTACCTTGGAATTGCGTAAATTTGATGGTTCCCATCCTCTCTCCATTTCTGAAAACAACTTGACCCTAAATAAAACAAATAAATAACTTAAAAGTTTTATAAATCTCTCATCACATAGTTTAATTAGCACTGCAATTATTTTCCATTCACTATTAAAATTATCCAAGCAAGGTTTAAACTTTGAAGATAGCAGACACAATTACACCTCCTTAAAGCTTTCTTCCACAGACTGCAAATGGCTTTAGAAAGCTGACCAGTATTATCACCCTCTTTACATGGATGGAAATGTAGGTACTATAAAGCCAGAAACTTACTGAATCTCAGAACGATGAATCAGATTATGAGAGATGATATACAAACAATTGATTTGCACTGTGACTGTTTTTATCAAGGATATGTAAAAACTATCAAAGATCACACAAGAAAATCATTATCCATTTCATTCATTGTAAGTTTTTTCAAATGGCTCTATAACCTACTTTTATTGTTTCTTATGTACTTATCCTACTTGATTGTGGGTACCAGTAGCTCTTGTGGCTTGGTTTTGTACTATGCCAACACACATGACCTACTATTCTTTCTAAATGTGATGCCTTTTTAAATGTAAACTACCCTTTGTTGTCTACACTGTCACTCCTCAAAATAATGGTCATGTAGTGCTGAAATCTCCTCACATATCCCAAGCAAATTACTCCTGTCTTCCATCCTCTCTTTCCAATTTAAATTAAGAAAAGATCTTGTTAAATTTCTTCCTTACTTCAGCTATTTCATAATTGAGTATGAAAGAAGAGGGTTTTATTCATTTATGCTGAAAAGGATATTTAATATTTTGAACCTGCAGTGAAGTGCTAAGTGCTGTCAATATAGATTGCTGTGTTACTGCATCCCCAGTTTGCTTTATTATTATCATCTCCATTAATCTTTGTTTTAGCAGACATCAGGGTAACAGAAACCAAACAATAAACATGTAATGCTATAATACATTTCTCTATGCAAGCCAGACCCTTTTTGGACAACTCCTTCTAGTCGCCAAGGGGATGCACTGAAGGTGACCATCTGAGTTACTAAAATCATCTCTCTGAAGGAACGCTACAACAGATGTGTAGTACAACACACCCCCCCCACATTTCCTGCAAGGCACAAAACACTATTTCCCTTTGACAAATAGAAGACACCCTTCAAAAAGTTTAAGCAACCTTGTGCTAAACCTTAAAAGCCAAAAGCCCCCATCTGTGACAAAAAGAAAGCAAGAGAAATGAAAACTGGTTATGGAAGAGATTCTGGCCATAACTTCAGAAGGACATGGGAGCTTTT